GAATTTGGGTCACTTAAGGGTGCAGTGTGAACGTAGTGTAAATTGCATTCTTAAAAGTTGTTTGTAATACTAAAAACTCAAAGAAAGTTTTTTGATTATGGATGTGGTGTTTCAACTGAAAATATATAATTTGAAAACGGATATGTTCTCCTTGTTATATTTGAGACCTTACATATCTTATTTAATTAAAATGTATGTAATACACTACAATGTTCTTCAGCTAAATCACATCTGCAGAGTCAAAGATTTTCAAATAGGTCTGTTTTTCATTTTTTATCTATTTTTACCTGCTTTAATCACATTTCTTTCGGCTTAAAGCATGTATATTGCCTTCTGGGGATTATTTTATCCCAAAAATGTAATTTGAACAATTAATGTAGTTATAATGCATTTAAGACCTTTTTTTACTTTTTGAAATATGTCTTTTGGGAAGTCTGAGAAATTATTTACATCATAATATTGTTTTACCATCCTTTACTGGCACCCAACATAAAAAGTTTGATTATACTTTAACAACATGTTGATGATACTCACAAGTTCAGAGTGTCAAGTCTAGCATGACAAGTAAAACTATAATATCAGTTTTAGTAAGTGTCATAAGATAAGATTTGCAAGATACTGGTTAGTAATTAAGAGATGAACAGTGTCATCAGTTTCTGCTGGAATGATAAATGTTTAACATTCTGGCTTACAGGTACCTTTTCTCTGTAATCATAAGCAATTCTGTGCAAGTCACAGTTACATCTGATCATCTTTGCGATCTAAAAGGAAGCAATAGAATGGATGCAATTTATCATCTATTTTCCGACTTATTTTATTATTATCTTATTTAAATTATTTTTATTTGACTGCATCAATCAATCAGACTTTTTTTCTCAACAACACTTTCAAATGATGAAAAAAAGTGCCATAAATCTTTATCACAAAACTAAATCAAACTGTGGCAGGCAGTACTGCAAATGCGGTTCCCAATCAGATGCAGTCTAGTGCCATTTTACATGCTGCAGTACCCTGGTAATAAACCAATATTTGTATACTAAGCAAACCTATTCCAGAATGAACCCTATGTTAAAAAATAAGGATGTCTATAGTTGCACTTGGTACCAGGTTAATGATTGACTGTATATTTTGACCTTCAGCTGCATGTCTGCATGTACACTTGAGAGAAGAAAGAGTCGGACATGACCACCAGTCACAATCTCGTGCTGAGCTTGTTACACCAGAATAGGAAGAAGCCTCATCGGGGATGTATTCATCTCTCACCTCCGGGAGGGTTTCTCCCAGATTGGTGTAAAGCTGGGGAAATGAATGTCCCTCTTGGCTGTTGATGTAAGTTCTACAGTTCTTGTCATAGTTGCAACCCGGGTTAGGACACCGGCAGTGAGGAGTGAATCAAAGCTGCGGAAAGAGTCATATCAAGCCTGATTAGCTTGTGGTACTCTTGAGGCAGCATGGAGGTTTCATGAGGCACTGGTGGTCACAAAGGGAAAAACTCTGGCCTGGGAGGAGCTTGGGGAGACAATATAGAAGGACTATCGGTCAGCCTCAGAGCCATTCTGGCAAACTGTCCGGCACCTCCAGAGAGGGAAGCAGTGTTTTGCTAGAACAATTTTTAGTGGGAATGGGGAGCTGGTTTGACTGTGGAAAGAATGCTTTTTTGGATCTCCTTAAACCAGCGGACAGGCCTTCCTTAGCAGAAGAAGACAGGGTGCTTGTTTCAATTTGATGGACAGAGAGACAGAAGTGAAAAAAAAAAAATCAGCACAGATCGAAATCTGCTCACCTCGCAAAGTCTGAGAATCTATCTGCAGTCAGTGCAGTGACATGGACAAAAGTCAGATTGGATATTAAAAAGCCAGATCCAACCGGTGTGACCATTTCTTATTACCTACAGTATGCAAAGCAGCCAGGATGATAATTACCGCCTTAAAGTTTGAGGCCATGGTTCTCAACCAGAAAAAGGTGATTAGTCCCTTCAGGTTGTGAGAAGGTTACATATCTTGAAGTCCTACTCGTGAGTGACGGAAGAAATTAGGAGGAGATTGATAATACAGAAGCTGCACCATTCTATTGTGGTAAAAGGAGGGCTGGGTGAAAAGGCAATGCTCTTGATTTACAGTCTACATTCCTAACCTCATTAGTGGTCATTAAGTCTGGATCAAGGCGTAGACATCTTTTTCAGATGAATCACCAAAATCAGATTAAATCATGAAAAAAATCCAAATTGTTAGGCTTGAAACACTCCCTGTCAATGCCAGACCTACCAGCCATTTTGTAAATATTTGCAGAGACAGCAGTCAAGAACTCTTTAGTTCAGGATTTTGAAATCAGAGACCAGATTATGTTTAGACTTTGTTCATTCCTCTGTTAAGAGAAAAAGATCTTTTGGGACATATTTTTTCTTCTCAGAAGTATACCACTGCCAGCTGATATAAAAAACTACTTCGACGCCAGAGTGTTTGCCAGTTAGGGGTACTCTAGCCAAGCCTTGTTTATGCTGAGTCTAATCTGAGTTTTTTGTTTTGTTTTTGTTCTCTAGCCAAGCTGAGATCTCATTGAGTTTTACTGAGCGCTTGTTTCTCCCTGAGTCTCAACCTTGTTTGTTTTTGCCTTTCGGCTGGAAGCCTTCCTGCAAACTGGACCTTTCCGGACCACCTTCTCCCAAATGGAATCAACTGAGTCTTACATTGAGCAACGGATTCCAAACAGGAGGTTTGGATCCAGTCACCTTTGAGAACCCTCTCTGAGTAAGGAAATCATCTTCACCATGACCCGTTCAAGTACCACAAGGAAAACTGAGTTGCAACCAGCGGCTACATCATTCAACTCCGTCCGAGTTCTGGGTAAACCCTGTTCCGCCTTCCACCGAATCAAACAAATTCTGGAAGACCAACACACAGACTGGAGGCCAAGTGTCTCTTCTTCTCTGGAAACGTGAGTGGCAACAAATCCTCTCCTTCAAGATTAACAACTCCAATTTCCCACTGAGCTTGAATCTAACAGTCTGTCTTCCCCTCGTCTTCCAATTTCCGGCTCAGCAGAGTTCGGAGGAACTCTGCACTGAACTCAAAATTATCTTCAATAAAACCCGTTGAACTTTTACACTGTCTCTCTGTTTGGCTTCACTGCACATGGGTCCGAGCCTTAGGAAAATCATGAAACAGAAATACATACTACGGTAGTTAACTTTATAATGTTTTCAGATATCCTCACAGAACAGCTTACTCGTCTTTTTCATCTCACTGCATCTACAGTTCCTATATACAACAGAAAATTACTTTAAGTCAAGCTACTGGGAAAGTAAGATAAACGTACTAAACAAATAGTGGAAACAAATAAAAACAGATATTTCCTTTCACTTGTAAATCTAGGTTCTTGTTCTTTTGACACCTTTGTTTATAAATATGCAACAAATCATTCATATTACACAAACAGCCAAGATAGTGAGTGGCAAATATTATAGTACACAGTCAGTGCAGACTTACGACATATTTCTCTCGTCCATGACAGTGTCATCTATCATTATAACTGTTGTCACAAGTTTGCAATATACCTGCAATTCTGTTTATTTACAAAATATATAAGAATTTAACAATCTCAATTAGGGAAATACTAAAGGTAAGAAAAAATCACAACAATTTTTTCTACATACATGTTTAGAAATTCAGACGCCAGGAGCCATAATAAGAGAAAGGCAAAACATAACTGGCTGTGTGATTTCCTTTATGTCAAATATATGATCCATATGTTTTCAAAAACCTGACAGACTTAGAGATGCGCTAAAAACAAGTGGGCTTCAAGATTAAAGGTTTGGAATTCATCTCTGTCATAGATGCTCAAATATTTATTAAGCAGCTAGTATACGTTTTAGTCCCCATTAAAGTGAGTCTGTCAGATGAGCTTCTTTTTGGGCTAAAGGATATATTGTTTGAGTCTCTCTTTGAAACTAGATGTTGAAAAAATCTAAACTCAAAAAATTCAACTCCTATTGTATCATATTACTTTGAAGGCCTTTTAAGGTCTTTCGGGTTTTTCACTATTCTCTAATCTTTTACAGGAGATAAAAACACTTACTGTAATAAATCAGTCACTCTAACATTCTTTCCTCTTTTTATTTGTTAAATGCAGGAAAAAATACCTGAGAAGCATATTTATGATTTTGTCATAAAGTTTAACTCGACTGTTTGATTTGAGCCTGTCTCTTTGTCTGTGGCTGTAGCTGTAATCTCTGTAAAGCCAAACTTTATTTTTAGTTCTATCTCACGTTTCATTCCCAGTGTTGTATCGGGTGACTGAACATCAAATGAGCCAATTTTTTCCACCCCTTCTTCATCCACATATGTGACATGTTTTTTTTCTGTCTGATAAAAGGTGAAGTTTATAACTGTCTGCTGCGGTTCTGTTGGACACAGAATCTCAGTTCTAATTTCATCCCAACCAACATCGTCATCAGCTGTCACCAGTCTCATGAAGATATCATTACACCATTCTCCCTCTTCATTGGTGAACTTCTTATCTTCCCTGTGTTTTAACTTATCAAAACTCTGAGCAATACAAACCCCGTATGTGAAGGCACTTTTACGAGATTCCACTAGTGCAGGATTTCTTCCAAACTCTACAGCCCCTCTCATGACTACTTCCTGTGGCCTAAATGGACACAGAACATTATAGCAATCAATGAATTCCTCATAAATATGTCTCCGCAGAATCTGGCTTTCCGCGTAGCCCCCAACTAACAGAATAAATGTAATGTTGGGAACTTTGTTAACCATTTCTTTGATGCTCTTAGTAATACCCTCTAGACTCTCCGAGAAAAAAAAACGAATTTTCTTTTTATCGATGACAATAGATCCTTCATCCCAGGAGGCTCCTTTCACTCCATCAAAGAATCGTTCTATGTCTTTCTTTTTTTTAGCAATATCCCCAAGGTTATAAGGACAGCTAATCTCTGCATCTACATTTCTTTTTTTGAAAAGTGTAAAATCGTATATCATTTTCTGAACTTCACTGGGGTGTTCTCTTTCATATTCATCCCAGACTCCATCTGAAAATATTTCCCTGAGGAACTCTTTAAATTTTCGGTCCACAGTTTGGCCTCCCAGGTTGTTTCCAGAGGCTTTGTGTAGCTCCTTCAGGCCACCTCCTTCCAGCACTTCATGTACAGTCATGTCAATAGTTCCTCCTGAAACACAAATATTTCAAGGAAAATAAAATTACACAACTAAACATTAACTTTTTCAACAACTAAAACAGCAAAAAATATAACCATAATGTTTTTCAAATGTATTTCTAATAGATGCAGAAAACCATTAAAACTGTTTTATCTCACTGTCAAAATTGTTTCATAAACTGATACCTTTAGCTGAAGTGCATCTTCCTATTTTCTCTGTTTTGAAGGTAATAATTCTTTTTACTATCGCTTTTTGCTTTTAAACCTATTGTATCACATTAAGGATACATGGTTCAACAACAATGAATATTCTAGAGAATTTCCTTATATTGTATCATTGACTCTTCAGCAATCTTGCACACCAAGCATGCATGCAGCAAAAGTGTGAGAGGAAAAATTCCCTTACATAGACATAAAAAGGAACATAAAAGTACCGATGCATTAATACTTTGTATATTAGAAATGGCAATAGAAAAGTAGCTCAACATGCTGCTCTGTATTTGAAAGAAACAGCTAAGCAGAGGAGCTCTGGGCTGGTTTTTATATCTAAAGGCATGAAAAAGAGCACATACAATTAGACACAGTCAAGTGAGCAAATAACTATGTCTAGGAGAGAAACAGGACTAAATACTGAAAACTAGGCCCAGCTCTATGATCTTTAATC